AGAATTCAGAATTTCCATCAAAGTAGGTAGATCTTACATACAGAACTGTAATTCATTATAAATCGTCATGTTAATGTTAATAAATTACGATTTTAAATTAATGCTATCTTATATTGTAAATAGTGTATTAAAATCCTGAATTTTTGTATTTTTAAATATTTAACACCATGAAATTCTTATTTATTATGAAACTTTGGTAACTGATAGTCTAGTTAATAAATGTACTTCATCCTATCTAACTATAAATTAAATTTCGCAGAATAAATCTCTTAAATTAATTAATTTTAATAAAAATAAAATGTTTAAAAGACTAGAGATTGAAGAGAAGCGAGTGTAAACATCGCCTTGACACTGACCCTCGAAAGAAAGTAAAAGCTCGGTACTCAGATCAAGGACTCAAAGCAACAATGTCGTCAGACAGGTCTGGACAGAGCAACAGTCACTCAGGGTTAGCAGCCGAAGTGGAAGAAGATGGGGGAAAGAAAGGGGAAGAATCGTCACGCATGGACGAAACGTTCCGTGTTGGTACCCTTGTTGACGAATCAGAGCTACGGAAAGAGAAAGTTAGTAAGACTACTTTGGATCCTCAAGGGGGAACGGTTGCCTGGTCATCAATCCCAGAGAACGTTCGGAGAACTCATTCGTCTTAGCAAATAGAATTAAGAAACTTTCGTATTTGTGGCCTGGCAGTAGGCCACTGTGTCCATAGCGGGTATTCCTGTGAACACCTACTGGAAAAGAAGGTATGTAGGTTTATTTGTAGGGGTGTAAAAACAGCCGCCAACGTGGCACACCTTCGTTTTCTTTAGTAGGCCTACTAATTAGCTTAAGGGTATCTAACAATCCTGCACGTTACGAATGATAGAAAAAATTAATAGGACTAAACAAATAACCATATTTATAAAAAGGGACATTATGCTATCTCGGATAAACTCGAAAATTCTTACGAAAAAGCATGTTATTTTTAACTATAACACTAAACCTAACCATAACGGATCTCGATTAGTATTTAACACGAGAGACTAAATAATAAAGATCGAGTAAAGTTTACATCGTATCATAATTCTAGATAATAACAACGTATATTCCAACTACGATGGTATCAATATGAAGGACAAGTTGTTATCATCAATTTTTTCTTCAACCCTAATATTACTCTCCCAACAATATATGACGTTTCCAAACATTTTTGATCCGCCTCACTCTCTTATTCATTCCTTTATCTCAAAATCAATACATTAAAAAAACTTCACAGATAACTCGTTTCTGGCGCCTCTTAGACTTTTAGTTTGTGTAAGTAAACATTTTCTGCAAACTTTATAAATATTCCATTGTACATGGACACATTATCGAGTTTATTATTGTATGCATTTTCGTTTTTTCCTACATCCAAGCAGGAGCTTATATTTCAGAGAGAAACAACAGGACGGAAGTCCTTTGTTTACAAAATTTCCTATTTAAAAATGAAATAATTAGATCTAAGTTATGATATATTTTAAAAATAAAGCTAAATATAATATAAAACCGAATCTAAAATTAGATTATCTTACCTTGACATTCGTTTCGGGTTCTTATGGTACGATATGCACCGATTAATACTTACTCAACAATTCATGCACCGTGTGCAATATCACCATAAAATACCATAGCGGTTAAACTTAAATTGCACAGAATCTTCCATCTGAAACGACTGTTAGTACTTTTGGAATAAACTGTGTAACCTCAAAGGTTATTTCAAGTCATTTAAATTTACATAACGTTATTAAATCATATATTTATTAATATATAAATCTTATTTGATCTAGAAATGTGTGAAAAAAACTGTTGTAATTATTATGTAATTTATAATTTATATATTTTATGTTACTAGACACGCAATTCCGAGCGAAATCCATTAAGATTTATATATAATCGAGGTGATCTTCATATGTTTACATTCTATTTTTCAAGTTGTAGTAATTGTATTTGTGTACAAAAGCCTTTTATATCTAGCGAATACATTTAAATAAATACAAACTATATTATCATTCATACAAATGAGATTTATCAGGTTCATCTGATACGGAATGCTGATCGATAATGATACTCATTGTTAAGGACATACAGACTATTAGGTCAATGACGTCACGGCTTTCTAAGCCGGTAGTTCACGTCCCTCACGTTCTCATTTGCATCCTCTCACGCCAGTCACATGATAAACATTATGGTCGTTAAAAGGTGCTGTTGTTTATTTATATTATCATTATTATTATTATTTTAGATTTAATTTCATATTATAAACTCTCCTTTTCTTTTTCTTTTTTTCTATTAGATGCTGTCTTTTCAACTATTTGTAATTTTATCGTTTTTTATTTTTTTAACAAATTCAGAAGAAACTGGTAAGATTTTAAAATGAAATCATAGATATTAGCGAGGTTACGGCCGAAGTTTTCATCTTTAAAACGTGAACGTCGAACGTCTGAGCCGCTATCTTGTAAGCGGCGCTCGACGTTCGACGTTCACGTTTTACAGATGAAAACTTCGGCCAGAACCTCTGTATTTAGTGATGAAATAGCGAGTGAAACATTAAATTTCTTTTATAGATGGGTGTCAACAGGGGGAAACTGAAGTATATCTCCTAGCTACGAATCTAAGATTAGACACTCCAGTTTATGGGCAGTCATTTGGTGATAGTCTGACCGAATGTGCTGAAAGATGTCGTTTAGATAAAAGGTGCCGTTCCTTAAGTTATCTAAAAAATTCCACTGATGCAATCTGTCAATTAATGGAAGCCAACATGGAAACAAGTAAAGTCATACGGCAGAAACCGTTATCTCCTGTTCAAGGAATTAACTTTTTACAAAAAGTTTGTTATAAAGGTTATTGAAACTCTGAATTTTTTTAATGTAAATTATGTGTTACGGTAGAATATATTAAAGTTTTTTTCACTGATAAGTTTTCCATTTTCTCAGGTGCTTGCGATCGTTTGTTTGTTGTGGAATGGATTCAAGGAATGAACTTAGAAAACAGCACTACTAGAATAATAAAGAATGTTACTCAAAAACAGTGCATCGAAGCTTGTCTGTCAGAAACATCATTTATCTGTCGTTCCGCTACCTTAGATTCATTAACATCAGAATGTCAACTTAGTCGTTACGATCGTTTCAATCGACACAAATTATTTAAAACTACAAAACCTTTCGTGAATTATTTTGATAATACTTGCGCCTATAAATGGGGTAAGTATAATTAATTTTATTTTCAATTATAATTTTCAAGTTATGCAATGCAATAGAGAGGTTGCGGCCGACGTTTTCAACGTGAAAACGTGTACGTCGGACGTTCAGCGCCACCTTCTTGTAAGCCTAGAAGTTTGACAATTGCGTTTGAAACGTCGAGCATGATTCCACTGACGTTCCAAACGCCATTGTCAAACGTCTAGGCTTACAGGAAGGCGGCAATAAACGTCCGACGTACACGTTTTGGCGTTGAAAACGTCGGCCGCAACCTCTCTAATAATAAATTCTACTTTAGAGCTCGTACATATATATAAATATATTTTTCAGGAAAATCGGGTTCCAAAGCCGAAATTCTCCTGCTAGGAAACGTTGAGCATCCATATGTCATGTCTGAATATCACGGAATATCTGTTAGTGAATGTGGTGACCTGTGTTTGAGGAACACAAAATTTCCCTGTCGTTCTTTTCTCTCTGGTCGTATATCTGGTCAATTGTATTGTGGACTCACTCATCAAAATAGAGAAGGACTTTTACAAAATCCAGGAACGTTCGAACCTTCTAAATATCTAAACTACTACGAACTGGCTAGAAATGTCGAAGGTATTTTTAAATTTCAGTATTTATTTTATAGTAATGAAAACAGTAGCATGACTACTTGGGTGGTAAAGTAGTATTTGCCTCTAGGCTTATGACACTTGAGCTATAGGGGATCATAAAAAAAAGAAAAATACACGATAACCCACCTTTTGCCTTCAGTGCTACATATATCTTGTTACTTAACTGCCAAAAAATATAGCTAAAATCTATTTTCTTATCTCTAAGCTTTTATATTTTTTAATAAATCCTAAACTCGTATGATGAATTATTATAAAAATTTAAACTTTTATAGCTTGTGACGAGACGGATATTCATTACGAATTAATATCAGGAGCCATGTTAGACGTGGAATCGTACATGGTAACTTTAGATATATCTACAGACGAATGCTTGGATATATGCAAATCGGAAACCATGTGCAAATCAGTGTCGATTAATTATAATTTAGGAAGTTGTCAATTTACTAGAGAAAATATTCGAACTGCGTTAGAAGCCAATCTTCTTCCTAATTCGAGCTACAATTATTACGAGAAAATCTGTTTGCCAGGTAAGCTAATAGAGGTAATTATTTTAAGAGTATAGGAGGATGTATCCTGATGTCAAATATTCTGTTGAAGGCATAACTGATTGCGAGAGACCTTGGGCTATTGAGAGAGTTAAAGGCAAAGAACTAACGGGCATCGATCATGTTAAAACTATAGTTGAAGCCAATACAAGAGAGGAATGTGAAGCTGCCTGTTTATCTCACAAAGAGCCATTCATCTGTCGTTCTGCCGAATATCGTTATCAACTTAGCGAATGTCATCTCAGCCCCTACAGTCGATATACAACAACAGAGAAAGGAGTCACTCTTGATGTATCTAGATCATCAGTAGATTACTTAGAAAATAACTGTGTTAGAGGTGAGATATAAATTTTGTTTGCACAATACAAAACTTATCTAGATAGTAAGGTAGAATTTTTATGATGAATTTCTTTAGCTATGTTTCTATTTTCCATCAGAACCTCGAGGTTTCTGTAATACGAAGTACATTCCTCGCCATCAAATGCTGCTTATTGACAAAACAATATCAACCAGGTCATTGGACGAATGTCGTGACATGTGCCTATACACGGCTGATTTTGTCTGCAGGTCAGCTACATATCACTCGAAATCAAGATCATGTGAACTCAGCCATCATACTAGAAAGTCGGCGCCAGAAGGATCTTTTGTTAGATCGCATACAAGGGATTACGTTGAGATATCGACCTGTTTTGATGGTAAAAAACAATTATTATTTATGCATAATTACAGCTATGCTAATAAGATTTACACGAATTAAATCGATGCATAAAACTCGGCTTTCAGTTACGATTGAATAACATTTATTATTCTTCTAGCAGAATTATTAAAATCTTTTATAGAACTTCACGTAGATCCGGTTGGAGTACTGTTACAAGTAATGAACTTGAACTAATGCATTAGGCAGATGTCTATCTTGCACGATCTCCAGACTTAAAACTGATGCATAGGCCTATACATAGAAAACATCTTAGAACTTCTCAATAAAAATTCCCAATTAGTTAATTCAAATCGAAATCACAATAGATATTTGTAATAAAATTATAAGCATTAATTTAAATGCTTCTTTTTTGAAAATAAACTTTTAGGTTATATTTCACAAAATAATAGTGCTTCAGATTAAATAATTTACTTATTAACCACGTTTCCCCGCAATTAATAAGGGCGTATTTAAAAACTAACCAAGCAAAAAATGGAATTAAGTGAAAGAAAAAAAAAGTACATTTAATAGATTTTCCTTCTTCGTCATTAATAGAATTATCACATTTAAACAATTTCTAATGCAATCCAATATCCGTAATGTTTTCACTAGATTTTATCTTATCAATCGTTTCTGGTGGAGACAATAGATGATCCCACGAGTTCAATGTTAGGAGTCAATGCACCTGAGAACACATCCCTTTTGCTTCTTCCCTAGGGGTTCAAGTAGGGATGAAAAAAAAATAACAGGTGCAGAAATTAATGACTGTGATTCTATTGCTAGAAGCGAAACTGTAGATTAATTATATTATTTCGTTATCTATGGAATGAACATTGGACTGTTACTCATTCTCTATGATCATTTTCGAAGTACAGCTACACTAATTTGACCATTAATCATTTTGTAAAGACATTTCCATATACTTCGGTTTAGTACAGGTGATTTATTAATAATTAATGTTATCTTACTTAATTTACAGTAACTGTTCATTGTGATTCCGAGACCATTACTGCTAATGTGAAATCCAACATGCTCTTTAAAGGAAAAGTCTACACCAAAGGAAATCCTTTAACGTGCAGTTTAGATATAAGCAATAGCATGGATTTTGCATTGCCCATACCATTATCGGGAAAAGATTGTGGTACTGTTAGCGAGGTAAATTGTTTTTTATATATATTAATGCTTAATAACATTCTGAATAAATTAGAAACTTTAATTACGTGAGGTAATGCATTATAATATTTTTACTAAAGGCATGTTTAGTTACTTCATCATAAATCAATGTAATTGTGTAAAAAACTTGTATAACAATCTTGTATGCTTGTAAAATTTATGTAATAAGCATGTACGAGGTATATGGTCATGCAATTTATTCACCTAAAACATCATTCGACTATGTGTTTAGAAGTTTCGTGATTATGGGTGTGATTACAAATAAATGTACCTTCATTCATTGTTTGTTCCTAAAGAATATGATAATTTAGTATATAGAATATCCTGAATATAACCGTTATATATATATATAGACTATATATTTTTATTACAGTTATTATTTGTAATATTATTATAACAGTATTTTAAAAGTGACGATGCTCTTCTTTGTTGATAATTCATTCTTATGAGTTACTATTCTTCAATTTGTATACATGCTATGCATTCAACATCTTTTATCTTGTATGTAAATAACTTCTAATCCATCACTACACAAAGGCCTCTCAACAAACTTAATGGATCAGTGGACATTTCAGGTTCAAGGTCGGAGCCATGCCTGGATGGGTTTTCCCCCAATCTCTTGATATTTGCATTCACTGTTGGATGCTTACCCACTTTAACACAAACGACAGTCCATTTGTAACCGAAATTTAGCTCTTTTTAAATAATAAATGATCGATTTTCTCGTATAATATAGATAAATAACATTAAAGCCATTACGATTTAAATTACAGATCGATAGGAATAACAATATAAATCGCTATTATTAATAACTAGTTTTTATCTTAACAATTATATCGCATCTACTGTTCATCTAGATAGGACCCTTAATAATTACAGGATCAATAACATTAATCAGACAAAGGTTAATAACTTTATTTATATCTGGATAAAAAGAAAAACATTTAAATTTTTGTTAAAGCTCATTAAAAAGATAAAACAAAAGTTTTACTTTCCTTTAAATAAATTACAGGTTAGATTTTATAACGTGATACAACACTCGAAATTAGTAAACTTATAATCAAAAGGCTAGACTACAATGCTTAATTATAAGAAAAGAGATCACATATTTACGATAATGATCAGATAGTCATAAAAAAATATAATTATCTGATACAAAAATTATAAAAAAAAGAAAAGAAAAATTGACTTCCAGTTATATATTTTTTGTAGAATTTGGTTTATAACTAAACATATATATATGGAAGACAAAAATTATTTTTGGATTATTCTATCCAAAATTGTCTATTATTTATTATATAACTGTAAAAATTTAATATATTTATTTGTACAAAGTTAGGATTCTTTTATATAATTACTAATAAACGTTCCATAAATTTCTTTAACTTTTTTCATAAATCAAAAGCAATTGTTAATACAAGTTTAAATAATATAAATATTTCTTCTGTGTAATGGTAATGACTTTTGAATGAACTAATACTTAGATCTATCTATTTTTAGGTACTACTAGTCTACTAACTTTATTTCTATATATAACATGCTTGCATTAAATCTCCATTTATTTATTCTTCCATAGAAGATAGAACTTCACTTAATTTCTCCAATGTTGATATGGATTTCTTCAAAATTCTTTAGAAGAATAAATGAAGATTACTAAAAGCTCTTCCATTTTATCTTAATTTTGATTTGTGTTTTATCCTCCATCCTAGATTGACTTAAAAACAATTAAATTAGCATCTTCTATAATTTGATTTCTTCTTTTCCTGTTGTTCTCTTCCTTTATGATTAATACTAAATGTAAATTGAAACTTGATTTCTATCTAAAAACAATGTTTCCCATAAAATAAGCTCTTTTTCTCATCTCTGTACATTATTTATTTCTAGTAATAGAACTTATTTTTCTTTCCTGGAGACTCAAACAGATCTTCATCATCACCAATGTTATCTTATTTATTTTCCTTATTAAACGAATTAACTTTTTCCTTATACTAAACTTATATATTCATTATTATCTATCTGTTTTCCTATTCTATACATTTTTCTATATTATTAATCGAGAACGAATGACTTGAAACATACCCAAACGTCAGCTTCTTATTTACTTTAGAGATAAAATAGAATTATTGTATTATTATAGTAGTGCAGGTTTTGTTTTTCAAACTAGAAAACGGGTCATTATCCGTTCAGAAATTCTTACTAGAAAAATTACAGTCACGCGTTCTTTGCACGATAATCCTTAATTAGCGCAATGGCAATTGACCCTTTAAGACTGACAAAAGAAGATTTAAAAAAAAAAAAGTAAAAGTGTCCAGCTACAAATTCACTTTTTACATATGTTGCATGTTAAAATATAAATTGACTTCTAAGAAAAATGTTTAGAAAAATATTTTTTGTTGTTTATTTGGTGTTAAAGGATAGCTCTTTGTCAAGTGATATAATATATACTTATATAAATCATCCATTTACTTTAACTAGTACGACTTAATTATTATCTTTAGAATAGAGATTTAGGTTTAATTTAACCTTTCAAAAGATGACAAAAATTAAGTAGAATAATGCTTAAATGTTTACTAACTATCGTAATTTTATTTATTAATGAAATTTATTTATTTAATTAATATAGGAAGAAGGAAAATTCACTAATGTGGTTGTCATTCAGAGTAACGATCACGTTGTTACGTCTATGGACAAAGCAATTGGTGTGCATTGTTCCTTTCATGTCGGAAATCAAACGGAAGAAACAGAAGTTAATGTTACGTAAGTAACTTTATAAACATTTTAAACATTTTAAATATATCTTTTTATCTTTAAGAATGTAATCATAAACATAGAAATTGATAAAACAAATTAAAAATTTTCTATATTTTTATACTTCCAGTGGATTAAATAGTACAGATCACACGCGTGGATCTCCTAATCTTCCAGATTTATCTTTACATATTGTGGATATGAAAGGACAGGAAAGAGAAACAGTTTCCTTAGGTGAACTCTTACGTGTTCAAGTTAGAATGTCTAACGAAGGTAAAATATATGAAATTAGTTGTTTATTTCATTATTTATATTACATAATTTGAAAATAAATCATGTATTTTAGACACTTACGGTATATTCGTCCGAAACTTGGTAGCTAAAGATGGATCCGGTGGAAATAATCTAACATTAATAGATAATACTGGGTAGGTAATTTTTAAATATATTGATTTAAACATCACTTTTCTAGCTAAACAAATTCTTCGTTTATATTTTAACATAAATATTACAATTTATTCTGAGTTCCATCTGTTTTTTTTTTGTTTGTTTGTTTGTATGTTAATAGTCTAGACTACGTGCTAAAATTAATCTTAATGTAAATGAAGAATAAAGACTTTTGTTTGTTTACTAATTAATTAGGAAAATCTATTTAAAAATGGAAAGTTTTAGACAGATTTTTCTAGTGTTTAAATTATACTAGAAGTATACCGAGAGAATTCATTATTCTTTACATTATTTTTACGCTTTTTGATCTTTAAAAACTTTGAACTTGACCTACTAGGAACAAAGATCTTTCCAAGTCTGTGCACCTGTCACGTCCTTGAGAGGAAAATGTCCTTGGAAAGTTCTCCTGCAGGGATAATTGTCTTCATTCAAAAATAAAAGCTTTCGCATTTCAAATGTCATCATTAAATAGGAATTATTCGAAATTATTGTCGATCGTCTTTCTTAATTACTTACGCCTATATGAAATTACACCTTGCAAAGTATGAAGTAAATACCTATAAAAAAAGAAGTGCTTATCCAGCTTTTTCTGACTTGTTTTACAGTGTAAGCATATATTTAACTATTTTGTTTACTTTTGACTTTTATAAAGATGCCCGGTCGAAGTTAAAATGATGAGAGAAGTTAGAACAATTGACCCTCAAAGTAAATCCTTAGAAGGTTATTTGGAAGCATTTACCTTTACAGGAAGCAGTGTTTTAGAATTAGAAGCTGAAGTAGAAACATGTTTAGAGAATTGCAAACCTGTAAGCTTCTTGATTGTTTAATGAACTTAAACAATTACTTCACTTATCTAAATATTATTCGTTTTTCGAATCAGGTTCTCTGTCAAATTCCTACTGGAAGGCGTGAAGATGATATGGAAACAGTATCGTCTTTCGGTCGTAGGAAACGTGACTTATCATCCGAAAAGTTCGGAGAAGTTCTAGCAACAACAACACTGACTAGAAGTATAGGTGTACAAGATAACGAATTCGGTATTGGAAAGCCGTATTTTGAAGCTAACTACGCTGTACCAGTTACTGCACCTTCTTTCTCAGGTTTGTTATAATTAACCACGGATTGTTTTAATTAAAATTATATTATTATATATATATATTTTTTATAAATTTTAAAATGCAGAAAATCAATTATTCGAAGACTTTTATCAAAGACTGCCCGACGACGTACTGTTTTGCTTCCAACCAACATTATTTGCTTTGATAGGAGGATTGTTTCTGTTTGCTGAAGTATCTGCTATGACTGCTTGCTTGGTTTTGGTCTGTAGGTGGAAGAAGGGAGATGGAAAAAATCGCACCTTATCTATATATTATGCCAACAGCATAGACGGATCGGAAGCTTCATCTACGTGACGTTATCTTGGACCATCTTTCAATTCAACAGTAAATTACAGCGCAAAGATTAGATATTTTTACACAGAAACTAGTCTTTTTTTAAGACTAAATACTCTGCTTTATTATAAAATTCCTATATTTGTATTACAATAAATTTAAAATTCTTAAAAGAAAAGATAATTGAAGCTCCAGTTTAATAATTAAATAATCAATTATGGAGCTTGATATGTTAACTGAATTAGAACTTATTACAGTTTAATTTAATTATTTAAAAATATTAAATTATCAAAAATAAGAAAACATACACTCGAATTTATTGTAAAAAAGTATGTTCGATACTTTTCCTTATCCTATTAATAATATCAATGTATATTTAATAATTGTTGCTGAATATTTGCCTTTCCAACGAGACTTTCCTGTTATGAGGGAAAGTTAACTATTTTTCTATCTCAATTAATTCTGAGGATTTCACCGTATTAATTGCTGAAATCCTTAGAGTCAAATTGAATAATTTGGTTTTGGTTCACCTGGTTTTTGATCGTAGATGCCACGAAATAATGTAAAAAAATGTGTTGCATGTACTGTACAAAATAATTTATGTACGAAAGATTGGTGAAGGCAATCTTTTTGTAATGTTTTTATCATGTGAATTAAAATAAATGCTGTGATATAAATGTTACTGACAAATCTTAATTACATCTTCATACATTTTTAAACAATTCTTTAGTGTACAAGATCCCCATAACACTGTAGATAATTCCGCGTTATATGAATTCCATGTTGTACGAGTCACTTATATTTTACAAATACGTGTGCAGGGCTGTGAATGGCTCACATATTTGTAAAATCTAAGTGACTCGTACAACATGGAATTCATATAACACGGAATTATCTACAGGGTTATAGGGGGGTCTACTGTATGAATATTATAAAAGAATAAATCTTCTCTTAGAAATTATACACATTTATATACTTGCTTTTCTAATTAATTATAAAGACAAATTACTAAATTATATATATATTAAAGAAAAAACTTTTATGAATATTTTAATATAATATTCAATAGGTGTTGTTTTGCATTATTTACGTTTCATTTCGCAAATTACAGTCGGCAATTTATTTTAATGGAATTAATTCATTTATATTTATTTCTATATTAAATATAAATTATTATTATTATTATTATTAAATGTATGTCATTTAAAAGCAAAAATTTCATATATTAATTATCTCCATTTACTTTAATTCCAATAAATAAAATAGTTTAGAGATAATAAAATAAATTAATTCAAAGCTTCATTTATGTAAATTAGTATATTATAAATAATAAATACATTCGTAATGAATGAATAATGGGTATAATTATACTATACATATATAAGGTGCATTATTTATAATTTTGTACTAAAATATAATATAATTTAATAATTGAGAATTTATTTGAGTTGCAAAAGGATTAAAAAAAACAATTAAATTTTATATTCTATAAAGCAGTGACGATACTACATTAAACACAATACAGTACTGTCTTTGTAGTACAATACTGTACGTATCTAAACGCCATCTACTGAAAGAAAATAAAACTAAATTTTCTATATTTTATTTATATTTTTTAAGTTAATTTGTTTTTAATTTTTTAAAATAATTTTAAGAATGGAAAATTTATTTAAGAATTTTAAAAATAAAATTTGGGCGATACTCTAATAACTTTTTTACATTATTAGAATAATTATTGTAACGTATATTTTATTTTTTAATAAAAAATGCAATACACATATAATGTATCTTATGAAATATATTTATAAAAAACTATATTTTAATTAATTACATTAAATGAAAATTCCTTAAAATATATCCAAAAATAAAATTTAGATTTATTTACTTATTGATTACTTAATTAACCACCAGATGGCGGCACAAAATTTATTTAAGAAGCTTATTTCAATTGCATAATCGCCTTCGTATTATCTTGTAATTTATTTATTGCTTCGTTTATTAATATTTTAAAGAGTATTAATGAATATAATAATTATTTATCTATTCGTTTGTTGGGCTAATATACACGTTTACGTCAGTTTCTATATTTTCCCATAGTAATGATGACGTCGTATTGACGTCACTATCCTAATCAAACCAACGGATCTCTCCCATGTATATTTATATATTATATAGACCAGGGATTCTTATTTTTTTGTGCTATGGACTTCTATGACACTCTACTAAAGCTTATTGACTTCTTTACTTGAAATACAGTTATCAAAATATTAAAAATACCAACAAATTTGTGATGTATGTGCTTCTTTATTAAGTTAACAATGTCCTGAAATCTATATCAAGGTGTCCACGGACCACGGCTGAAGAACTCTCGATATACACTGATCATTTAAAAATATGGCATAATTTTACAATAGATTCATATATAAACATATAATTGTATTTATTTATTTTAAATTCTATTAGTTGATGATTAAAAAATATAAGTTAAATTGTTTTAAAGACTACGTAGAACATTGAAACTATGGCTTACATTTAAAAACACGTGCAATTAAACCATACTCAAAACATTGATGTTATCTCTATTTTAACCGGAAAAGAAATAGAGTGATAAAGAGCAACTTTTTTTCTTTTTTTTTTTTTTACTTTTTCAAACGATTTCGTGTTAACATAATCTAAAGGACTCATAGAAATCGGCCAGCTGGACCCATTAGCAAGGTTCTATTCTCTATCAACAAAGAACATTACTCCTCCCACTAGACCGGGGTAAAATACAGCTAGCAATAAAGCATTGGTATTTTTTCCCCTTCCTATTTACTATTGGACAACCTTGAGATGTTAAACAACTTCTTTATATCCTTACTAAGATCACTTAAACAAATATTTGCCTTGCCCGCTTTTTTCCTTGCCTAAATCGATTCTCTTTGAGAACTGGAGCTTCTTAAATGGTTCCTCCAGGTTCTTTTCTGGAAGAGTGCTTTTAATAAGTTTTTGGAGAAGAAATGAAAGTTTAAAAAGTGTATTTTATTTTAAATTTGTTCAGGCTATTACCCAAATTATTATAATATTTTTTTAGACCTAATTCTTTGGACCTAAATGTCTAGTGAACGAGTAAAATTTTTATGATGCCGTAAAAATTGTGATAACAATTTTATCAACGCCATAATTCTAAAATGATGATGCCATTATTAATCTTATATGCGAAATTATATCTATTTTTATAGTATTTCGTGCAATTATTTAACAAGATGGTGTCGTTATCACTCATCTAATTTAATATTTCTCTTTTAAAATGTTTCCGGTTATACGAATAAGAAAATTTATTATCCTTGACTTTGACTTTATGTTAAAAACCCATTGAGCCACTGACCTCATAAAGAAATTGTAAGGATGCTCCAAGTTTTCAGTATTTAAATTTAAATATCGTGTATATTCAAGAAAACAAATACAGTATTATATTCACAGGCATAACATTTAAAATGCATATCTACATGCAAATTTCATTTTAAAAAATTATCATATTTTTACTATTTTATGTAACAGAATTTAAGGCTAAAATGTTTCGCGATTTTATTGTATATATCAATGATTTCATATCGAATTGCATTACAAAATTCCTGTTTCTGAAGGTAATAGCTAGCGAGACGTGAAGGTCGAGGTAGTGTCATCTCGTCACAATCATTTATTGGTTTAAAATTGAAGATTTAATCCATGATTTACAACGTGACTTTAACGGGAGGTAATTTTATGAATTATGAATATGACATAATGAAGAATTACTTTTTACGATTAATAAAATAATTATCTTTTATTTTTATTGTTTAATTTTAAAGGTTAATGTCATAAAAATTAGTTGACAATTTGGGTTATGTAAATAGGATTTGAAGTCTTTCATTTTTTAAAATTCTTTTAGTACTAATTTTAGAACAAGTTGTAGAAAATATTGAGAAAGTAACGTTATTTTCTCAGTATTAAGGTATTTAGTTTTAATCAATATGAGTATGAGAGCTTCGTGGAACACAGTTTGAACACCACTGATGTAGACCAATTTGTATTAAACTGAATTATTTTCTTAATAATAATAATAAAATTTTGTTTTTATTTTCTTGGACAAACTCGGGAAATGCTTCCTCACATGAAATAAAAACAAAAGCCATATAAACACAGGTCCGGAAATGAACGGTTTATGAGAAAATGACACTTGAGAATATATACAGATATTAACGCACTTGTAGACAATACACACACTAATAGCATTATTGACAGTCATTTTCATATGAAACTTACAATAGATGTTTGAATTGTACTCTATGTGAGTATTTCCAAGCATTCACCCATCAGATTACTGATGTTGCACTTACTCCTAGGTTCTAGGCTTTGCTCTAATGATTTCAAATGATTGCTGCATTATTAATTAATTGTAGCAAAATAAACAAGCGATTTTAGATGTCCCCATATATAAAAATCTAACAGGTACAGTACAGTACATGTAATAGGACTCGCTCTTCGAATCCATCGATGTGACTAGGAGGTAATCAGTATGTGATGCGATTGATGGCTAATATTCAGAAATGCAGCAGGGGTTCCATCGTGCATAAACCACACGACTGCTCGGATTTCCAGAAGCACTTCAACAGATTACTGTTGGAGATGTGCCCCTGGCATAAAGAGGAAATCTGTGTAGACATCTCTACCAGCGTTACTGAACCGAATATTAAAGAGATCCCAAATTAGAACGTGCAAATCTATATTGATCTTTACACTACTGTTTGTGCCGCCATTAACGCTGCGGATGAACAGTAAACTCTTGGATATTGTATATAGGGGAAAATGTGCAGGATGAGGACGTTAAGGTTTGAAAAGTCATAAGATGGCAACCACTTTAATGAGAACAATAATTTTTTTATTCTCAGCAACTACAACATTTGGTAATACATAATACAAAATTTAATTTTTGAAAAACGTTTTTAAAAAAAGAAATCGTAATATTTTAAAATCATATGTAAACGCACCATTTTGCCCCACCCATGGGGTAAGATGTATATATTCTCAACTGTCATTTTCTGGTAAATACAGTAGATCCCCCTATAACACTGTAGATAATTCCGTGTTATATGAATTCCATGTTGTACGAGTCACTTAGATTTTACAAATACGTGGCCGTTCACAGCCCGGCACACGTATTTGTAAAATCTAAGTGACTCGTACAACATGGAATTCATATAAAACGGAATAATTAACAGTGTTATAGGGGGTCTATTGTAATATTCTCATCTTGCTCCACCCGTGGGGTAAGATGGGAATATTATTTTTATATACAAGAAAAACAAATTAAAATGGTTAAACTGTCTTTTTTTTCAATATTGGCACAAGAACAATGCGCCCATTTAACACAGCGACTACATTTATTATTATTTTCCGAATAAATAAATATAAAAGTCTGAACTTACTCGTATTTACTTTGCCAGACGATACTGTCACTTCGCGCATGCTCGGTTTCGCTATTTTGTAAGCAGACGATATTTTTTTTCGTGGAAAAAATTTTTATTTCGATTGTTATCTCACATTTTATTTCTCGTTAAGATAGTATTTAAATTAAAAAAATGTTTTCACAAATAAAATAAAACGTAAAAACATAAATAATAAAGTAATACAGTATATACTGTATAAATTTATTATAGTTAAATATGATTTAAAAGTGGAATATTTCATTTTCTTTAAAAAGATC